AAAGAAATTAACTTTTATAACAAATCAAACTGACATCTGACAGCTTTGGAGCCAGAATGTCTGGATTTTCATCTTGGATCCAAAACTTCTGTGTGTGACCTTCAGCAATCACTTCATCTGAAAATTGGGGTTAATAATTACCTTCATAGGGATGTTAAAAGAACTGACTTAGCTAATACATGTAAAGTATTGAAAAAAGTGCCCAGCACTTAATTAGTGATCAATAAATGTAAGCTAATAGACTAATACTACTACCTCTACTACTACTATGAAAACTGTAAGCCTTAGCTATTAGCTATTAACCATTTTATTATATGCTTACTGCTAACCAAAGGCCAACATGAAGGAGTTTCAAGTAAGAAACTTCTGTATGCATTATGCCACAGCACTCAAGGACTCTATCTGGAATATGAACCCAAGCAGTAAGGGAAGTTTCTTTGTGTTAACTCTGTTTTGTCACTCCCTCTCCTTCCCCTGTATATTTTTCTAGGCATTTTGGTTGGTGCTTTACTGCGGAAGGGGAAAAAATAAACTACAGGGAAGATAAGAGATAAACATGAGATAGTACCTGCTCTCCAATAGGTCGGCTCCCTGCTCCAGCAGGAACCTGTGGGAGCTGTGAGGTGACAGCGTGGTGCGTTACATCGGAGCGGGAGCCGGCTCGCCGCTGCAGGGATGGGCGTCTCAGAATCTGAAGTTAAAAAATATGACGAGACATGTCTAATTTTGATCCATATATATCCCCATGCAGTCTTGACCTGAAACTATCAACCCCATATTACCAAAACTTGCTAAAAAAACTTCATATTCATTAGCCATCTTTAGGAAAGTTATAAAAGGAATGTTTTAAATTTATCATGCATCATATACTAATAGCCACTAAAAAATATGCTAATGTACTATTTCCTAAGCAACATATACTAAAAACATTTCTTGACATTCTTTGTCCCATTAAAAGTCAACTTATGAACTTATTGAAATCTAGTAACATTTTATAAGAGAAATAAAAATATAAGAGTTACAATAAAGAATATTTTCAGGCAAAAGTTCAATTCAGAGATAATCATAGTGGTTCAACAACGGGAGTTCTGGATCATACTGCCTAAGCTTGGGTCCCCCATACTTTTCTACTTAACTCTTATTCATTAGGGCAAATTATTTTTTCTACGCCTATACCTCATAGCTCTGTGTAAGGAACGATGAGATAATAATATACAGATACTGCTTGCAAACAGTATGTACTAAAAAATTTTATGTATAATTATTTCAGAAGAACCATGAAAATTGTATTCTTTAGAATTAGTGTTCACACGTTTAAACCTGTTATAACATCAGCATGTGACAGTGTAGTATTTTTCCGAATACCAACTAATTTCCTTTTAAAAGANCACTGCAGCCTACGTCATGACCGGCGACTTCTGGCAGCCCGGCTCCAGGTCGAGCTGTTGTTCACCATCTTAGCTGTAGAGAGCACAGCGTCACTGGCCCTAATGTGGGATCCGAACCGGAGCCCAGCTGCTCAGAGTTGGCGTCCCAAGCCAACTCTTAACCAACACACCACTCGGCCGGCCCTATGGCACACTTTAAAACACACCTTTTCTCAACCGTAGCTCACACCCGACTGACTGCACTGAACAAGTTGAAACTTGTCACACATGTTACTAGGGTTTGATGAACCACTTCCCCTACTGAAGACCCCTGCCTTTCCACTGGGTGGCGCTCGGCAGCAGCATTCAACATATTTTGTGATCACAATGGAAAGGCTCTGTGTCACGCATCGCTTCTTGTATGGCAATTTCTGTAAAAAATATTGTGTTGTCTTCATCTACTTTATTCACTAGATCTGGCATGGTGCGACTTCTGGCTCTTCCCCAAAGTCAAAACGACCATGAAAGGTAAACATTTTTAATCAGTTCAGAACACTGAGGCACCCACAACAACACAACTACAGATACTCACGTATGTGGACTTCCAGAACTGCTTCAGAAAGTGGCAAGAAAGATGGGATAAGTGTATTTGAAGCAAGGGAAATATTTTGAGGGGGGTTAATGGTAATGTGTCTTTTACTGTAATAATTTTTTTTTTAATTTAGACATTCAGCATATTTTCTAATCACACCTCGCATTAATTCATTGATTCCTCACAACCACTCTCATTTTAAAGATTAGATTAGGAAAGTGAAGCACTAAAATGTTAAATAAACTTGCCCACGGTCACTGATAATTATTTGTTGAACAGATGAATAAGTGAATGAACAAAGAGAGGAAGGCTTAACTCAGACTCCAAAACAAATAACAGAAAATATTTAGTAGTTCACACAGAATCCCAAAGAGTTCAACAATTATTACATGAGGAATTAGTTTAGATTATTTCTAAAGTTCTTTTCAGTTGTAAACCTTAATTTTTCTACATCAGGAGTAAAAAATTATCTTATCTGTTCTTGTAAATCAAAAGAACAAAACCAAATCTTTTCTGTTCCTGTAGTCCAAAATATAGAAATACAATGCTTCTTGGTTCATATACTATGAAAATATCCACTTTAAATTAAAATTTCTTACGTGTATGTTGGCTCCCAAATACGCCTAAGTTTATCTGATTTCACATTGCCATTACAGGACAATTGAAGCAATTTTTGTACATAGTAAAAGATAGTTGATCTAAAATTATTGAGTGGTAATTCAACTTCACGAGTTGTTCCAAGACCCGTTACTTTCAAAGTGAGGGCTAATCGAGGTGACGGTGTACATTCAACTTCTTCCAAAAGTTCTGAATGAGGTGTTCCTAAACATATGGAAGATGTGAAAAACAATTACTCTAAAACAAGCAGTCCAGAAAGAACACTGCACAAGGAGACAAGGCTACACAAAATCTAAACCCTTCTGCCATACATTAGTTAAAGATAGCAGCTACTGAAGACTCCTGGCCTCGACATTTGTTTTTAATGGGAATAACATACGTAGGTTACTTAAAGACAATGTGGAGAGTAGAACTTATTCATATGATATGGATCTCTCGTTATTAGGAAACATATGCTAACTATATAAATATTTTGGAGACATTTTATTTTTATAAATGATAAAACTAAAATTATTCATATTTCTACATCTAGGGAAAACCATATACTTTGGTCAATGACCTGTAAACGTTTTGCTTACACTGAATGAGTGGGTTATGAGGTAAACACATACACAAATACAATTAAGTTCGTAATGTATTTGGTGGTGTACTCTTTTTTTATTAGCTCAAGAATATTTTCCTCATATCGTTAGCGCTTTCAAACATAATTTATTCACTGCATGACATCCCATTGTACCTTTAGTCAAATCCCCTTCTCTGACTCTGTGCCTCCAGTCTCCCTCTTATTAGGAAACTAGTGATTACAATGGGCTCAACCAGATAATCAGGATAATCTCCCCATCTCTCAAAACCCTTATTTAATCACATCTGCAAAATCTCTTTTGTCATGTTAAGGTAACATATTCACTGGAATGGAGGTTAGAATCTACATATCTTTGAGGGGCCACTAGTGTGCCTACCACACCCAAAACAGTAAGAGATGGAGTTGCCAACTGAGGCTGACTGACTCCAGAGGCCTTAACTACAACCATTATATAGCTTTGCAAAGTAAAAGATAAATAGGAATAATCCTTAGCAATTTTGATCCAGTGAAAACACAATACAAATTATCCACCTTTAAATGAAGCCTTGCTTTAAAATTGACACAAATATAGAACAGTGTTTTTAAAATACTGTAATTTGCTTCTTTTTAAAAAATCTATTTTTTAAGGACTTGTGGCTGATACAGTTTTTCCTGAAAACTTATATTTATAACCTGCATATACATGTAGCACCTTACTTTCCTAATTATATATAATTATCCTATTTGGTATCTATTAAAGTTAACTCACAAAAACTAAAATATACTGTACCTGGAGGTGGAATTTCTAGATCAGTTGTCTGCTGGACATTAGTACGACCAGGCCTAGGATCAAAAGCAGGAACTAAAGCAGAAAATTGCCGCTTTAGCACATAATCATCATCCCATGTTCTCCGGCGTCCTCCTTTAGTTTCATACTCTTCTTCTTCCTAAGTAAAATAAAATTTCACATACAAGCATTATAAAACTTCTCGCTATTGCAAAAGTGACGTGCTATCTATAAAATACAATATATGTTTAAGTACTTCTCCATATAGCTATTACACGTCCTTCATTAGTCATATTTCTTAAGCACAAGTGAGCCAACATAAATATGTATAGGTACATAAATTTCTCATGATTTAAGTTATCAAAGGTAAGTTGCATTGGTGGTTACACAAATCTACAGGAGATAAAATGACAATAATATGCATACATTGTATCATTGTCAATTTTCTGGTTTTCATAGTGTACTCTAATTGTGTAAGATGTAACCATTGGAAGTAATTGGGCAAAGGGCACATAAGAGCTTTTTATCATCTTTGCATCTTTCTGTGAACCTCTAATTATTTTTAAATAAGTTGCTTTTTTAAAAACGCAAATTGCATTATATACCGAATTACGTACAAAAGATATAATGCTTGGGACTTGCTTTAAATTACTATGGGGCAAATAGATCAAACAAGTTTGACAACGTGTTGATAACTGTTAAAAGTCAAATGATGAGTTCTTGGGGATTCATTACACTGTTCTTTCTACTTCTAGCATGTTTTAAGATTTCCATA